CAACGAGAAAGAACTAAAAAGGTCATTATTGATTTTATTTCTGTAAGACTACAGTAGAAATATAGGGAAACAAGTGTTTTCCGGGTGATATTTGGTTTTGTTTAGGTTTTTAGGAAAACAAATCTGAATATTTCAAATTTAAGGGCTGTTTTATTTTTCGTCTTGTATACAAAGTATTTTTTTTAATTTAATTTTATTTTTCGTCTTGTATACAAAGTAGAGAGGTCTGTGGACTTCACGTCACTTTCATTCATTCTATTCCCTGCGTTCATCTAAAGCCATTATTTATATTATTATAGTGTGACTTTGTTAAAGAAATTATTTTCAATCCAATTCCAATCGGATCTGACGACATAAATCTGTTATTTGTTCCACTTTGGAAGAAAATCGAATATTCCTAAATTGTGGACAATAAAACCCAAGGGTGGAATTATTATACGGTTTGGCGAACATTAGTCGACATTACACACATTTATGAACCAAATAAATAGTGGGCTAATCGAGAAATCACCGCCGATTACCAGATTAGGAAGTATGCGTGTATGCTTGTGCGGTGCTTAGGTTACAGACTGCGGGCGCTTACATGACGAACCCCCTGCTCTCCTTTCACTCAGCTTCAGGACGCATTTAAACCTCGTCTCTTTTCTATTGACTCAATTTTTTTTTAACATTTCGTTAAATCGTCGCTGTATCAACAACATCAGTTGATCGAATATCGCAGGTAGAGGGAGGAAAAGCACAGGCCCGTGCCTCCAAATTCGGATCCCGCTGCGGCTTTAACGCATCGTCACAGCACGACCACCACCACTGCAGAGCGCCGTACGCAGCGTGTTCCATCCAGAGCTCGGGTGGAAAAACTCCCATAGTGTGATCGTGGCACCTCCAGGGGTCCTCGGAGGGACTCCCACCGCATATACACAGCTCTGCGGCGTATTATTCGCTGATAAAACACGTAGCTTTTGTAACGCAGGGGCGTAAAAAAATAAAAGACTAAAAAGCTTCCACTTCAGGAGTGTGTTCTTCCACCTAGACGCATTTGGATTTATATAATAATGAAAAAATATATATTTAAATGAGAATGAAATGGCACATAATGCGCCCGTAAGACGGATATTTAGTGTTTTCTTCAAGGACAAAAACACGGCTGTGCGTCTCCGCGTGCTGTGAGGGAACGAAATCAATCAAATCTGAGCGTAATTCGATTAAAAATGAACAGAAAAGGTGTGTGTGTTCCTCTGTGTGCGAGTGCTTGTGTGTGTCCTGCAGCAAGTGCGTGGTCTGATAGCGCTCCCTGTTGGCCACAGGTGGATATGGAGCAGACTCTTAAAGGGGATGTCACAGAAACAGGAAGAGTTTTTTAAGGTAGACCGGTGGAGATAGCAGCACGATGAGGACGCATTTTTCTTGCTTCAGCAAAACGTTTTTGTCAGAGGGCAACCGGGACAGGAGTGGAAAAACATCAACCGTGGTGGATTTATTCAGCCATACGCTGATCTGAAGCTTTCTTAGCCATAAATACACATCTGAAGACATGTTCCGGCCTCATTCTTTTTGAAATATTCCAATCACCTCCATTTAAAGAACAGATATAGGCTATATTTAATATTAAAATTCAGAACATGACCTTTGAGGAAAGACACGCAATATAAGAATGTAAAAATTACAAGTTGTGATCATTTATATAAAAAAGGATAACATTGTCAACTGTGGTTAAACGGGTTCGACTCATTTTCGGCCCGTATCCTTCAGACTTTGTGTCCTCTGGTGAACAGATTGTACGTAATTTTTTACACTAAACAACCGAGGTCACGATTAACTTTTCTGAGCCGCATTTACACCGTTATAAACAAGTTTTTAGTCGGAATCTATTACATAATCGCGTACAACAATGATATATGGCTTTGCCATAACGCAATCGATGTATTATTTCACCTTATGCCAAAACAATTAAATTCTGCACCGAGGCATTAAGAAGGCTTGGTGAAGCCTTTATAAAAGCTGGGCACAGTTTAGGAACATATAGAGTTGAATTTGTAGCTCGGTTACATTTAAATTTGAACAAAAGTAGTTTATGCATTTCATAACAATGTCGTTTATTCTCACTTACCAGATACTGTCGTGTGCAAAGGTCTTTGAACGCCTCCTCCGCCTTGTTGTAAGTCAATTGAGGGCACAGACATCTTAAAGACAAACAGATAGTCGATCAGATGTTGATTATTCAACTATATTTGTTGCAGTTCTACAGTGATCTTTTAACTCTGTAAAACACGGATTATTGGTGAATATCTAAATAAAGTTAAAAGTTAGATCATGTAAAGCTCAGCGCCAAAATATTTCAGAAGAGATCATTTTTACATCAGTAGCGTTGGCTCACGGTGAATAATTTAATCGATTAATGAGGGAAATTGACAACTCAGTCGACAGAGCTCATCTTATCTATTGTCTATATTTGTGTACGGAGCCGGTGTGATTAAACTATTACATTAACTAATTAATTAATTAGTTAATTGACAGGCTAACATTCAACCCCGATTTCCATCCACCGTGTCCCACATCTGCACAGTGCTGGTTACTAAACAAAACAACCTATGACAATTCGAATATGTTTGTTATGAATGGATTAAGGCATATGCGCACTGAACAAAACCCAAAATAAGCCGCAGTCCCTGCTGTACTGACGCAGTTCGACGCAGGGAAAGTCCAACCTCATTACATCGTGTCTCACATTTAAAATGTGATTTCTAGTTGTAGTAAAATAACAGATAATGTGATGACGTGAACAGGGCTGTGATTTTCTCACTGAAACTGACTGTTCCAATCTTTTCCTTCCTCCCTCATTTCCATACAGTCACTCAGTCCGTTCTCGCTTCACACTCACCTTGTATGCACAGATGCACCTGCTCCTCCTCGTCCTCCTTCCACCTCTGTTCACCTCCAACCTCAGTGTACTACAGGGTTCTCCTCCCGCACACACTCCTCATTGCGGCCTTTCTTCTACCGTAACATCTCCGAGTCATGTTTCGTCCTTTAGTTTGGCTCTGTCTTTTTTCATGGCCCGCGTTTTCCCTTCTTCAGCCTCCACCTCAGGAGGAGAGGACATCTTGGTTTCTTGGCTGCGTGGACACAAGCGTGTCTTCCACTCTGGGAATGGATGGACCCACCGGTGTTCGCGGCCTTGACCCGGTGAACTGCTCTGTCCTCTGCCTGGATCTGGGGTGAGTGTGTGAAGGAACAGAGCCGTTAAGACAGATTTATGTTCAAAAAGGGAAAAAAATAAATAGTGTTAAAAGTCAATCTTTGACATTTATCAAAACGATGAAAAATAAAGGAGCTTCACTGCTGTCCCTGTATTCCCGTGAACCCAGACGTTTCGCATTTAAAATATTGAATATATTGTACCTACGTTTTCCAAAAAATAGCAAAGAACACTTAAATATAAAGATAACAGTTGAAAAATAACAGAACTAACTACGAATCAAACCCCAATGTAAAAGTTGTTTATGTAAACTACATACGGGTTTCATTCCAATGACGTTAAGCTTAGGAAGGAGCACAAAGATAGAATAAAATAAAATACAATAAAATAAAAATAAATATATATCCAGAAATAGCTTAATTGAAAAAATGAAAATATTTATAATAGTTTAATACTAATAAATATTGTCGTAGTTAGATTACAAAAGTTAGCCTGAAAAAGTTCAAATGATGTGAAAATATAGAAAGATATTTCAGGTTAGCCAATATCTTATCCAGAAATTTGGTAAATCTTGACCTAAAATAAACCCTAAAACATTTGTCACAAGGCTTAAAAAAGTTAACATATTCCTGATTATGTGAAATAGAATGGGACATGAAGAAATAACTTGCTGGCTAAACTCTAAAAAAATCTGTCACATGGTTAATGAGACATTACATTAAATATATTTAAACAGGAACCCAATTTATGTACATAGGTTAAATATAGAAATCAATGAGAAATGTTGAAGTAGTTGCAAAAAAATAGTCCAAAAAGATGGAGCAATAAAATGTTAGGACGTAAAAAGTCACAGAAAAATCTGTCCAAGCAGCACAGGCAGCCGCAGGCTTGACTTTGACGCATCTGCACTCTGAAGAATGCCTTTGCTTGATGATTCAACTTTTACTGCATTGGTTGAATTATTGAAAATAACTTTTCAGACAGCATTCTCATGTGTAACATATTAGCATTTCTTTTAACCTAAAGCTGAGAATTTTCACGCTCTTTTTTCATGTTCGGGATGAGGATTGTCTTTAAAAGATAATTAGGACTCTGGGTTTGGATATTTATTGCAACTAAAATATTAGACATTTTTCAGTATAATTTCGAGGTTTGATAAGCTTTAATATTACGTCTTAATGGACCTGTTTTTTTAAGAGCTTGTCTCACATGTTAAAACAAACACACACGATGACCCCTTTTTTTTTTACATCTAAGGTACGAGGTAGCGGCGTTGACCTTTGACCACTGTTACTGTGGCGGCCCGCAGCAGCTTCATGGTTTGATGGTTCGTGCGAGTTCCACCAGGAGTTTAGAAGTCAGAGGAGAGAATGAGAGACAAAGGTGGGACAGAGAGACCCCCTCTACCCTAAAGTTCACATACATTTTTAAAGAGTGTGCTGATCAGAAAAAAAATTTTACAATTTTTTTTATACTCCTAGCATTTTAAAATATTTATTTATATTTATGTACATATTTTTCGAGCAAAGCAACTCGTGGAATAAGATAATATGATACAACTCTTTTTCTTTCCTCCAGGATGCAGCACTGTGGTGTGGGACATAGACAGGGGACAGTGACTCTATACAGAACCACAGCAACACTTTTGCACCACATTAGACCGTCCACCCCCTCAGACAGAGTGCATCCTGGGAAAACTCCTGCTCTGGAACTTATCAGAAACTTGGCTGGACGCCCTGACCAGCCCACAGGTGGGGCTGCTACTGAGTTGTTTTGTTTTTTTCTCGGAAAAGTTTCAGTTTGACAAAGGTTCATGACTCTCAAATACTGACTGCTACTACTACTACAATTAGTAATATATATATTTAAATATTTGGGACAGTTCATTTCCAACTCTGTCAGATTACTTTATATGACATGAACTAAAATTTCAGGTTTCTGTTTGTTTAGTAAAATAAACAGTATAAAACTGAAACATGAGGATTTATTTTTTGGATTCAACTAATATTAAGTGCTGCCTTTTAGAATTAATGTATGCACTTTTAGTTTCAGAGTAGTTCTGTACTAGGACAGCAGTATTTGATTTACCTTTGATATAATTTCTTCTTTTTTTTTTGTCTCTCTGCAGTGAAAATCCATGCAGCCAAATCAGCTCATCCAACAAATACAGAAATAACCTTCCAGGCTGTGTGTGAGGCCGCAGACTTTGAAGCAGAGTTCATCTGGACCTTTGGAGACTCCACGTCAGTCCGAACCAACACAAGAACCGTCAGTAAGAGATATCACAGACCCGGCAGGTAGGAAGAGACGAAGAGAGAAAAATACAACGTCTGATAATTAGGGATGTCCGATTATATCGGCCGACTGATATTATCGGCCGATATTAACATAATTATGTAATATCTGTAAGAATGGTTATCCGTTTTTCCTTGGATAATGAAAATCCGATAACGCAATATCTGGGTTTCCCCAAATGATGTGTAAAGGGCTGTATATTAAAGTGAAAGTCACTAGGTAGCAGCACTGCAGCTCATTTAATGAATCTATTTTAATAATCAGGGGATTGTATTCAGAATGCTGGTTCCAGCAATATACATAAAGTGGTTTGTACAGATAAATAAATAAATATTACCTAGCCTATATCGGTATTGGTTGATATTGGAATCAGAAATGAGGTGTTTGGAAAATATCAGCAAAAAATTGTTATCTCAAAGTAGAAACATTTTTCTAAAACAACCAAAAATGTTGGAAACACTCACTTTCAGGTTTGACGTGGCTGTGCTGATGATAAACGGTCACTCCTCCATCACCTCTGAGCCGTTTCCTCTGGTGATCCAGAGAGCAGTGAAGCTCAACAGACTGGTCCACCAGGCGTCAGTGCTGCAGAACCAGACGGTAAAGCTGAGCTGCCGGGTCAACATCGGAACCGATCTCACCTTCCTGTGGAACTTTGGAGACGAAACGTCCAGACTGGGACAGAGCACAGAGCAACACATCTTCAACAGGTGAGGAATATTTTTAAAATTATATTTAAGCTTCAGATTTAGCCTTTGTAGCTACAGTACATCATGAAATATGCAGTATGTCATAAAAGTGAGTACACCCCTCACATTTCTGCAGAGATTTCATTATAATGTTTAATAGAACAACACTGAAGAAACATCGCTTTGACACAATGAAAAGTAGTCTGTGTAAAGCTTATATAGCAGTGTAAATTTATTTTTCCCTTCAAAAAAACTCAAAATATAGCCATTAAT